TTCTTCAAGACCAAGAATGGAAAACATATAAAGAAAACAATAAAGGAGACGAACCACAGCCCGGGTAAATCAAGCTTGTTATTAAAGGATTAAAATTAAAAATCGCACAGCACTAGAACAAAACAATTCAATCAATGAAGATATATTTCGTGGACGTCACACAAATCCTTCTCATGTTCCCGGATAGATTCTTCATCTCCATCTCCCATGAACTTTCTCGGAAAATTTGTTTCTATTGAGGATTCTTCCTCGAAATAAACAAAACCCATTTAAAATTTCCAATCAAGTATCAGTCAGACCCGTAGAGAAAAAAATGAAGCCAAACAAGAAAAAATAAAAAAGAATAAAAAAATAAAAGAGAAAAAGAAAATCTAAACAGAAACAGAGCAGTCCGAGAGCTGATAATTTAAACGTAATAATGAACGAAATTACGTAACCACGATTCAATTTCATCATCAGAAAACCATCGAAAACAAAATTCCAAGCTCGAAAGGTACAAAAAACAGATCTGCTCACTCAAGAGCAAACAGAATCTCGAGACGAACGCATTAAAAAAATAAGTTTACGTTAAGAAAAACCTATATAAACGCACAGAGATGCGTACATACACACAGACATGTCGAGAAAGAGATTCTGGGTAGTGGATAAGTACCAGTCTAGAATCTGGGTTTGCCGCGTTTGCGGTTAAAGTGGTTATGGGTACAGAGAAGCTCCACCTTTAGTGCTTTAATGCCGGAAGAGAAGATAAGGGGGTGGGAGAGGAGAGTTACAGAGAGGGAAAAACCCGAAGAAGAGTGAATTGGAAGTGAGATGTTATGGAGCGGATAAAGGGGGTGTTACAAGATGAGGAAGAAGGATAAATCGCCGTTGGCAAATATATATAAACATATATACCCACACAAACACACATCAGATATATACATACGTACACCGCTACGTATAAAAAGAGAGCAGAGAGAGAGAGAGAGAGAGAGAGAGAGTGGGAGAGGTTGCTGGTCTTGCACGATGATTCCCGCTAGATGAATGACGTAGCGCCTCATAGGACACGCCGGTTATGGACAGCGTTTTAAATTTTTATTATTTACTATTTTTATTTCTTACCAAAAACAATTACTTTTTTTAAAAAATAATAATAATAAAATATTTTATCAAATTAATATATAAAAGTTTAATACTTTTTCTAATATTATTTTTGTTATAATTTTATTCTTAATATTTTTTATTTATTTTATACATCTAGTTTTCTTTTTTTAAATTTTTTGATGAAAAATTAAAATCATTATAATATATTCGAACATTCTAAAAAAATTATCTAAAATAATTAATAAATTAATAATAATATTAAAATTATTTTTTTATCTTTAATTTATTATTCTAATAGTTGGTTAAAATTATTTTTTATTTTTTATTATAAATAAATAAAAATGTTAAAATTTGATAATTAATTGAATAATTTATTAAACTTGAATTTTTTTAAAAAAAATTAATGACTGAATTAAAAAATAACACTGGGACCCACAAATAATTTTTGCTGCTTTATTTTTAGTAAAGTTATGTTGAATTCTAATTAATTAAATAAAAAAAAATATCCTTTTGAAAATTTCAAATAGTGCGTGCCATAAAAAACACCACGAACCCAATTAATTAACACTTAAATTAGATTAATAATAATAATAATAACAACGTACTAATTAATCTAATTTAATTACCGCACCCTCAATAATAATTTAGTCATACTATATAATAAAAAAAATATAACATAAACTATCGTTGTATTTTAATTTTAGAGATATTTTATATTTATCTTATAAAATATATATTTATTTTAAATAAATAGTTTATATATTTCATTAAAAAATATGTAAAAAAATAATTTATATAATTTTTTTTATTTACAAATACTATCTTTTAATTATAATAATAATTTTTTTTTTAATTTTACATGTAAAATTTGACATTCTCACTTACATTGGTACTCTTGGTATTATACATACATATATATATATATTGTAGTGTGTGTGTGTGTATATATATATATATATATATATATATATATATTAAGAAAGGATAGCAATTAAAAAGTGAAGGAGTAAAGACGACTACAATGGCGTCATAGTTTCTATGTATGGGAAAAAGGGCAATGCACTTGGCAAGTGAATACGACAAAAGCATTTTCAATTAAAACATCCATTGAATACGCAATTAAGAGGAGGTACGTTTTTATTTTCCTTCATTTGTTTGGTAGGTAGGAAAATTATTTATCAACTAATAACACCATTTAATTCGATTTCTTAAAAAAATACACCATCATTTCAAGTTTTCTTTTTGGATTTTTTTTTTCTTAAATTGAAAGAAAATGCAATTTCCATTTAATAAAAAAAAAATAAATCACGAAATTAGAAAAATACCAATTTAATCAAATTAATATATCAATATGTATAACACTTAGTATTCATTATTTTTACTCTCCATTGTAAAAATATATGACCTTTTAATGAAATGTATTAAATTATTATATAAATCATTAAAATATATAAACTCTAAAAAAAAATTGAGGGAAATAATCTTTGATTATTTTAGGAATTTTACACTTGGGAGGTTATTTTTTAAGAGATAATCACTAATCAATACGACTACACTTTAAAAAAAAAATTCTCTAAAAGGCAACTCGGGTGTAATTTAAAAATTATTTACACATCAAAATTTATATAAAATTATGACTTAATATGTAACGATCCGGAACTTAAAAGTAAATAAAATCATAAATTGAATACGAAAACAGAATAATAAAATTAGTGTTTACATTCCTTACACAATAGTTTAAAATACTCAATATAGTTTTACTAGTTTGTAAATGACTCTTCGTTATGAGGTTTAAATACAAATTTTCTCGTAGAAATAATCCACGGTGGTGTGATGCGCCGCTAACCAGTTCATTCTTAGAAATACATCGAGGTCCCCCATGTTAATCTTCATCGGGTCCATTATGGGTGAAACCGAGTCTCATGGAAAAAGGGCCAGATGTTGTTGGGGAGGGACCGAGTGGCCCTGTAATGGTGTCGGATAATACAGTGGGGGCTCCGAATTGTATTGTGATGGTGTTGAATGATACGACGGAGGAATAGGGTTGCATCGAGGTGGTGTTAGATCCTCTCGTTGTAGGAGTGGCTCATAGTGTAGAACTGGTGGAGGGTCAGACATTTTCTTCCTCTTTTCTCTAGCCTACTGGGCAGAGATGAGTCTCCCTAAAATCTAGAAGAGCCGATTGACATTCTCTCGAAGCGACCCATTTCGGGTTGCCCTGTTCAGTAATGGACCTCATCTCCTCAAATCTTTCTCCTTATTTTTCACAAAGGTAGGGTTTGACAATAGTTTGTATTTTGTATTTTTAAGTCTTTGTGTAATGAATGGTCTGAGAATACGCTCTAATACCAACTGTAATGGCCTAGAACTTAAAAGAAAATAAAATTATAAATTGAATG